ACAGACTGGCTAGGGGCCTAACTGAGGTAGAGAGAGGAGTGGAGCAAGAGAGAGAAAGAGGGTGACGGAAAGCAGGTGTGAAAGTTGATGTTTGTGTTACTACATGCAACAGTGAGAAGAGAGAAAAATAGCGACAGAGAGCGAGGACAGCAGCAGAGAGATGGGATGCTTGTAGAAGGGGAAAATAAGGAGGAAATTGAGAGTGTGTGAGTGAATGAGTTGGTAGTACATGAAGAATTCAGTCTGGTTGTGTTCTTGACACAGTAGCCTTTAATTTCCCAATTCAAATCATTTCTAGCTGTGTTTGGCGTACAATTAGATTTGGTGAGCTGAACTCTAATTTTGCAAATTTTCTTGTGTCTCAATGTGTGAAAGGAGAGACAGGACACAGTTGTATCCTATCTATACGTCTGCCTTATGCAAAAGCTTACTTCTGGATTGAGCAAAAGCAGACAACAAGTGTAAATACAGCAGGAGTGGAGTCAGCAGCTCCAGCAGCAAGATGCACACATTGCATTGGAAAGAGTTAGACAGTGCCTTAAGGAGCTTACATGGAAGAGAAGTGGAAGATGGAGAGGAATGAGGGGGTGTGAAGGAAGAAAGCAGCGGGGATAACAGGAAGAGAAGCAGCGCTGGGGGGACTAAGAGAAATGAAGAGAGGGAAGAGTTAGAGAGCAAAAAGGCGGAAAGGAGAGGAAGGGGGGGGTCGTTGTCAGTCTGCTCTGACTTTCCTTTTTCAAAACAGGAATTAATCCAATAATCGCTTGGAAATGTTTTGCATATTTCTTCATTCTTCTCATACACTTACTATCATCTGGTTCAAGTCTACATGAGACCTGTCAGGACCTTGGACACACACAAACACGCACGCATGCACAAACTCAACGACAAATCCCATTTCTGTAGGGTTTACAGCACACGTGCTTCAGGAGTCTAATCTTAGGAGTCTTTACGTTTATCTGACTCTTACTTCAAGTGATGCTCTGGGTGTCACAAATGCGCCAGCCCTGCTATAGGCTTTTCAACCATGTGGGCTCATTAGCACTCAATGCTCAAGCGCACACACTTCAAAACCACACACTTCAAAACCAAAGAACTGAGAGTCAGTAAATGAACTGCCAGTAGAGCCGAGGACAACGTCTTATGCATGTGATATTATCCATTTATTATCATATCCCTCAGCTGCTCTTGACTGTCTCTGTTCTCTTCTTAGCAATTATTTGTGTTAAGGTGTCTCTCTTACATCAAACAGTGACTACTGAAAGCTCTTTGTAGAAACAGGGTCAAACAGCTAGCCTGATTACAGATGACATGCTAACACCTCTAAAGGTCACTAGTTTACACATGTTATCACACTTTAAGCCTAAAAAAACAAACATTTATGGTTAACTATGTGTAGGACTGTTTATTAGCATTAGCAACTGGCTAGTTAGCAACAGCTTTCAGGAAAATGACAGTGAAATCACCACGCTAATCTAACCTGCTGCTACATATCTATTTAAAAAGTTCATCCACCAGAATATGCAACTGTGAAATTGAGACCAGTCAAGACTCAAATGGTAGACATTTCACCTGCAATGTTGCACCTTTGGTGTTACTCTTTCTCACCTTCCAGTGTCACCTCACACATTCAAGACTTATAGCTGTGCTGAGTTCACACACAACAAACGTCAGCCCCTCAAAGTTAATGTAAGGCTGTCAAAAAAAATACCCAAATTGCACCCTAATTAGCCTTCAGTAGACTCTCTCAGAGCAGCAGGTGATGAAACATTCATTGCAATGGGAGAATGTCTCTTAGCTGGAAGTGGTTTCAGTGAATCTGATTGTGTGAAAACAAAGAAAATTTAGGGAGAAGTATCTTTAATCTGCAGTCTTTTAAGAATATCAAAGTAAAACACCATAACCAAGGTCTACCAATTATAAGACACAAATGTCTTTGCTTCTGAGCACAGAGCTCTGCTTTAACAGCCGCCTTGGGAATTAACTCACTTGCCTGCAGTTTCAGCTGTGCCACATTCTCACAGTCTTTCTTTCTTCTTTTTTTTTTTTTTTTTTACAGCACTGGCAATTGTTGGCTTTTTTTTCTCCACTGAAATATCCACCTTCCTTGCCCAAGGGAAGCTTACCTTTCCCCTTAATGTGAGAGAAATCATTTAGTGACAGAGTAGCTTCCAGCGTACACAGCAGACTGAGGACATGATGTGAAGGGTAATACAGAGGTCAAAGATCAAATGGAGGCAGACTGGGGTCAAACTGAGGCAACCGAGTGCAATTATATAGCGCTACTGACTCCTGCAAATTAGAGGGGCTGAAAAGGGTGTTCCAGTTGATGACAACGTTAGTTACATAATGTTGTCATCAATTGACTTAACTCTACCAAGATGTTTCAACTAATATTACTCTTGCAGAAGAGGAAACAGTGGAAAATGGGAACGCAGGGGGAGAGACACCCCTTTTTTTGACCTACATCTACCATGATTAGCTATGCACTTTAAGAACTTCTTCTCCTCTCCCTTGCCATGAGAGAGAAGAAGATTATAAGTTGGCTGCCACTGCCACTGGTGAGCTGAGCTGAAGCTTGGGCTGGGACTTTGGCTCCTCCTAGATTTAGGCTAGATTGGGGATTTCAAAGTCAAGAGAGTTCAAAGCCTTGGCTGGGGAAAGTAGAAAAGAACCGCAGCCAGCTATGAGCTAGAGAGCAGAGAGAGCTAGCTACTTAGAGTGAACTCTCACACAGTCAGTGGGAGTGCGGTGGCAGGAATGGGTGGTGGGTGTTAAAAAAAAAAGGGTGAATGCTAGTGAAAATAAACTGTGATACTAGGTGGGGTGCTTGATCAGCATGTTTATTTTAGCTCATCGATTATACAGAATGTTGGATTGTTTTTCCTCCAAAATAAAAATGATGTTCAATGCTTCTCACATCATCACTGCTGTTGTTGTGTTCACTTTTAGATCCAAATGATGGATTTTTTTGTTGCGAATGGAATATTAAATTATGTGTTGAAACTCTGCTTATAGTGCTAACACCCACAGTTCTGTAATGTAGACGGAAAAAAACATGCCTAAAGTGTCCAAATGTGAGACCATTACAATGAACTTTCACTGAAAAACAAAATTCCTTACCTCTAAAAAACACTGCTTTTCAAAAGAGAGCCTTTAAATTGATGATGCAGAGCTTTCACAGGCGAGCATTTTCCCTGTGTGCTACACAATGCCATTTATGTGCCAAATTCCACCCCAGGACAGAAAACATCAATGGAAATGTGTTTAATCTAAGGGATCTTTGGTTTGTCAGTATGAAGTACACAGAATAATGAGCCAAAATCAATACCACAAGCAGGTAGAGTCAAGCTTATTGAAAATATTCCTGGAATATTAACAATGTTTTTTGTTTTTTTGACAGATTCATACTACATAAACACATTACCCAGGTACCTATAGCAAAACACCAACATTCACACGAAATACCTGTATTAAACAGGACTCAAATAACTTTGACCTTAAAGGACTGGACTGTATATGGAGAGAAAAACAAAAACACAAAGGAATAGGAATAATATGTTATTGAGCCTGATGTGGTTTGTCTGGTTTTAGTATAACTTATTTTGGTTATCAGCTGTATGTCCTTAGCTGCTTGGTCAATCCTAGAGGTGATTTACAGAGGGTATTAAGGTCTCAGGTCAGTGTATTTATCAGTGTGTGAGTACACTGTGTTACAGTTTATTGACAAAAAGCAGTGTTAACCACTAAAAAGAGCATCCAGACAGAAGACAAGGGTTGAAAACCAGAGTCCGTCTCTTCATCTAAAATCATGTCTGGGAAATATGTGAAAGCTAAAATGCAAAGATAAATATTACCACTCTTACTTTTGATTTTGCTGTCTGCCTTTATTTAATTTTTTACATAAAATAAAAAAATCAACAACAACAAAAAAAAGAGGAAAAATAAGATAATATTTTGCTACTTAAATAGTAATATTGTGTCAACGTCAGAACCATAATAAATGAACTGAATTAATGCGTTATTGGGAACATTTTTAGCTTTAAGAATGCCGCTTCATAGAGTCACAAGGTCTCTACCAGTTTATACCTGGGTCCTTTCATGTCAGTTTTCCAACTAACTATCATTTTCTTTGTGAATTAAATTATATGAGGATTTAATATTACTGTAAAGAAGCAAATTGAAAAATGTAAATCATTAAATTATTTAAATCATCTGACTTATGCTAGAGTTTAGTCAGTTACACTGCTTGTTTTTTTAAGGCTGCATCAAGAGTCAAATAAATACACAAACGAAAAAAAAAACACTCTTAGTCAAAGTTTTGAGGGCAGCATGTAGGGCGGGCTGCTGTAGGTCTTTAGTGGTAGATTAAGCTCCAGCTTGTGCCTCTCTCTGTTGTTTTCGTCCTGATTCAGCAGTCCTGGACTTTACGCAGAGCCTCTGACAGCTCAGTAACCACAGGGAATGCCAGCTCATCGACTATTATAATGACGGCCTCCCTATAGCTCTCCGTCTCTCTCTGCCCTTCTCATCAGCCACACCATCCACATTCATTGTATCTCCCTCTCTCTCTCTCTCTCTCTCTCTTTTTCTCTCTCACTCTCCCCATTTCTGATCTTTCTCTCTGCCCTTCTTGCTGAACAAAAGCTGGCGTGAGTGTGTATGATGCAACTGTGGCAGCACTGAAAGTTCATAGTCAACAGAATGCACAAATGAACATCCCCAAGGAAGGAGTGGATAGATTAAAGATTTAACTGAAAGCAAAGATATCATAATGAATGATGCAAGCTTTAAATGAGAGCCTCTTAGTGAAAAAGGCTTTAAAGCCAAACTCTAAATCATCCATTTCTCGTTACAGTCTAGTTACAGATGGAGACTTACCTTTTTTTCAATAAGAAAGATTCAAACAGTACAACAAATTAGGCGCAGTATACGGACATGGTTGCTGATATAAACTGTATTGCACGCTTTATAAACTGAAAAGGACACAGAGAACCAACCTTGAGCTTATCGAAGCGTTCAGTGAGCGAGGACACCTGGTGCTCCCGGTGGCGTCCCACCAGCTTGCAGAGGGCACAGATGAGCTGGTCGTCCACCAGGCAGTACATGTTGACCTTCTCGTTTTCGTGCTCCAGGCAGGTCAGGCCACGGATGTGAGTATCCGGCACCGGCTCAACCAGGCGGTGGCTGGTGAACGGCTTCTTGTTGGGATGTGTGGCACGCAGGCAACGGTCGCAGTACGACACCTCACATGTGACACAAGTCTTGACGGCCTCACGTGGCGGATCCTGCTCGCAGAACTGGCAGCTTATACGCGGATCCATTTTAGCAACAACAGCAGGGCTGTGGTTGGCGTTGGTGTGGTTGACGTGATTGGCGTGATTAGCGTGATTGGTGTGGTTGGCATGGGGAGTGGGAGTGGCTGGAAGAGGCCGGGCTGCCACGGGCGCTGCTTCCGCCTCCTCCACCACCACCACCACCACCACCACCACTACCTCCACCACCACCACCACCACCAATCGTTCCAGCTATCGTTCCGCTAATGTTGGCGGTGTAGGGCCGCTGCGGCTGCACGCGGCGGCTCTCTGTGGGGGAATTTGGGCCGCTGAGGGAGGCCTTTTGAAAGCGATCAATGATGTTCTGCAGCGTCACATTGCGCTTAAGGCCCTCCAGGCCGCGGTGATTCAGCGTGATGACGTAACGACAGGTGGGGCACTGAAAGGCCGAGATGGACTCAAGGGGTTTGCTAGTGGAGCAGTGGGACACCAGGATGCGGTGGGCGCAGTTGAAGCACAGGCTGTGGGCACAGGGCAAGAGAAGAGGGTCTTCAAACAACTCCAGGCAGATCGGGCAGGTCAGCTCAGACTCCAGTGTTTCCATCTTCAATTAAACCAATCTAAAGGTGACATCAAATCCCATGGAAGCTGGCCAATTACCTGCAAAAGGAAATTAAAGACATGAATGAGTATTTAACACACTTTCTTGCATTACCATGCTGCTCATCTTCTACAACAAAATGAGACTCCTTTAAACACACAATTCTGTTTAAGAATAAGAGGAATGACAGAACTGAAGGAAAAAGATACGAGGTCGACTGATGGCTCGGAAAGAAGTAAAAATCAATGGAGTGAAGAGAGACACCCTGACAGAATCCTAACTTTAGATTTTCAACCCTTCATCAAGCCTCAACATTTTCACCAACGTTTACTTTTTCTGACTTATCATTGACTCTGCTTATTTTTCATGGTCACAGTGGGCAGATCAGCTTGACTTATAAAACAATAAACACTTGACCCAAAGGACATCAAGTTTTAAAACATGATTCCAACAACAATTTCTGGTGGGAAAGAAGAAAAAAAAGACAGGGCCAGAGCGGTACAGGAAAATTGATTTCAGATCCTGCCCCCTCATTCTACAAGCACTCCAAATCTCAGCACCTTACGGCCTGCATTTCAAGCTGTCTCCCCTGGGTGGCCTTAAAACCACTGACATGAGAAATCAGCAATAACCCTCCCTCCTACCCCCTCTGATTCAGTAGCTCTCCATTCTTTAAAAGAAACAAAGCGTGGGCCGTGAAACTACAGTATTAAAGTGGATGACCCCACAGAGCTGACAGTGACGATTTCATTAGGGAGAGGACGTTCCTGAAAGACGGCCCTTGTCTTCCTCTGTGCCAGTCATGCAGGATTTAGTGATGACTGACTTTTATGGGTTGTGACTAATCAGAAAGTACTTGTCATCTTTGGGACTGCGTTTAAACTTCTCTGAGTGACCTCTCCGCAGCTTTGGTGCTTGTGTGCATAAGGATGACTTTTTACAGACACTAAGAAAACTTCCAGCTCACAGAATGAACATGTCATCAGGAGAAGGGCAGCAGATAAAAGAGTCATTAAGATAACTGAGGTAGTCTTTCGATCAAAGTCACAGGGGATTAAACGAACAGTTTCAAACTGAGTTTAGGTGCAAAATATAAAATATATGTATCGATTCAGCATCATGGTCATCCAACTGAATTTGAGTGTACTTTAAACTCTTTACACAAAAAACTGATCTAAGACAAGAAGGATTTCATATGTGCTCATATGGAGAACAACGTCGTGATGCACCGATGCATTGGTTCAATATCGGTATTGTCCCTGTAGACAGACATAGTCAAGAAGTCAATGTTTATTTGTTGTGCCAAATACATTTTACTACTGACATCTCGTACAACTATCTACTGATTCAGAGAAGAGGTTTTTATTTCTTTTGAACAAACTCTGAATTGTTTTCATTGTCCAACATGAAAGCAAATGGTGGGAGTGTTACACCAAAAGAAGTCATGAAACAAACATCGACATCAACATCAACATCGGCCCTAATTTTCTCAATTGGTGTTTTTATTTTTATTTGATTTTAATTATTTACATCAGAAAGTCTTTGTCTTTCCTCATCAAGTTGGTGCCTCTGAATCCCAAAGGCCACCAAAGCAACTGTCAACAGACTATTATTTTCCTGGTTGGAAATACACAGTTGTATAAAGTAGTACATATTACAAAAGTAATACACACACACGCCAGGTAGACAGAATGTAAAAATGTGTTGTTTGCCAGCGGTCCAGATCCAGTCAAGTTGCAGAAGTAGTCTGACTGGTGGGTCTGAATGAATGATTTATTCAACAAAAGGGAACTACTTTCTTTTTACCTCAATATGCTGCTTGTACTTGAATTGCTGTGATTGTCTTTGGCACTTAAGTCTAGCGCCTTGTGCCTATGCCTGCCGTGCTGATATTCAGTTCAACATCATTCCCTCATTCCTGAAATTATGGTCTGTCAAAGCTTGATTTCACATTTGTTCATCATTCGTGTATTTCGACCTGCCTGTTTTTTTTTTCTAGATTCTACTATGTCCACTAGACAGTATAGAAGCCACAAAGATAGAGTCAGAGAGAGTCTTTAATCTTTGCATAATTTTCTGTTTTAATTCAAAAATGGCCTTCCCATTTTTCAAGAACCCATATGGAATTTTTTAACTCACTTGTCTCTAACACAACCAAAACTTAGCATTTTGAGCCTACTACCACATTTGACATAAAACGTTCTACCTGTTTGACGTGAAACAATCTCAATATTCAAATGTTGAGCTTAATATTACAGAAAACACAATTTATTCATCAAAATAGCACTTGTTCCAATCCCTTAACATACGATGTATTTTATGTTTTGAAGCTACAATGTGTTTTTTTCCTTAATAGGATAAGCATGACTCTGAATAGAGAAAACAATTCACAATCGCAACTTGTCGAAACACAATGCTGATGTGTGGCATTGGCCTGGAACTGAATGTCTGAAATTCAGTTACTCATATAAAAATATATTAAGTCAGCTCTGCCATCCACAGAGCAGTGTGACTATATCATGGGATGTGACACTCTCATGACTTGGTGTAAATTCAGCTGCACTGAGAAGGAAGCACTATTCAGAAGCTCAAAAACTTGCCAAGGACATGTTGAAGACGGGACTGTATGAAGACACAAACAGAGCTCAAAGGCTCAAACTCATTTGCACGAACAAAAGTCTCCTCCCTTCTGCTGCAGATTAAACCAGGCCTCGACACTGAGCTGTGTTCAAAGCAAACATGATTTGAGCAGCGCCTAAGTGCTCGAGAAAGGCACTCAACTGAAGAAAGTAGTTATATACATGCAGCTGCATTGTTACAAAATTCATTACTAGGAAAAGAAATAAATAACTGCTCGCAGCCAATCATGCAGATATTATGCTGATAAAAGGCAACAGGCACTGCATTAGTGTGCAAGTAACCGCGTGTGTGTTAGTCAGGTACATTATACTCATCTATTAGAAAGCTGTGTGTTTTCTCTCACATGCACATAATGACCTTCTCCCATATTCACCTTGGCTTCTATTTATCAGATGCCTTATGCGGTTGTTATCATCATACCGCCTGGATATGTAAGGGGTAAACAGGGAGAGAGAAATCCACAGAGCAAGCAAACACGAGGTTGTGCTTCATCACACCAACAATAGGTCTCATCTATCTACACTGTATCAGAGAGGGGGAGAAAAACGGATACAACCAGAGACAGGATGTAGAGGGAGTGTGATGAAGGGAGGCAAAGACAACCTCCAGGACCTTTCGATGACAAGCAAGGCCACTGGCTTCACAGCTTGTAGATACAATCTATACAGGAAGGAGTCTCTGACGGTTTATCTGTATTTCTGTCTTTGCTTGGCTAGAGAGCTGCTCATCTGATCAGCCTTAGAAATGGTGGATGAATTGAAAAGAAATCACTTCAATCAGGGAGGAAGGCGTGGGTAAGAAATACATTGACATAGTAAAACTACATAAAAATACTTCTTAATATCATTCACACTGTTTTTGAAAATACACTTTGTAAAGATATCCAACTAAATGTCGTTGAAGAAGCCGACGTCAGAGAGATCTATATTTCCACAAGGTCACAGAGAGCAGCTGTAGGCTGAGTGGTTCCATATGACTGCTGTTTCAGGGCCAACATATGTCAACAACAGGAAACAAGGCACACATTCATTAAGCTCCTCAGGATACACATTGATTCAAGATCGAAGGGTCATTGTACACCCATGTTCACCTCGCTCAGGAATCAGGTATAATTCATGAAACAACATGTCTTTCTATCACCACCATACATACTCAGAGGAAGACGAAAATAAACGCCAATAAAACCACTATTATTCAACAGCAAAGATTTTCTACAAATCCTGCTTCATCTGTGTTTGACAAAATAAAACAAAGGAAGTCACAGAAATCCCTATGTCGCTTTCCTTCTCACAGGTATAAACAAAAAGTGATCACGACAAATATGCTGTGGGATTAAACATTTGTAAGTATCTTAACACACAAATGCCAAGATTCATCAGTTTATGTTTGTATTTAATTGTCATTATTATTAATTATGTAAAATAGGCAATTGTAAACAAGCATCTATACATACAAAAAACAAACCAAATCCATCATATCCACAGAGGCATGAACAGGGTCTTTATCCAGGATTGGTGCAACAGTCAGATTTAAATGACTGAATCAGTCTCACTCTATTTCCTGCCACTGAGCTGCTTGTGTTGATGTTAATGTGACTGTGTCTAACAGAGCATGGTGTTATAATTACCATCAAGCCTTAACACACCATCAACAGGTCCATTAAGCTTTAGCTGTGTCACTCTGGGGAAGCAGAGCCGTCCATGATAGGAGCCATTTAGCGAGCTAATTCACTAGCTTCATGGTAAAGGCGTTTCTTCAGCAGACACAGACATAAACGAAACAAAAAAAAAACATACACATTTAAGCAAGAGCCGCACATTTACTGTACAAGTTCTTTCTCATCTGTCTCTTCCAATACCAGTCTCATTTGAGTGTAATGTCCCATCTGGACAGAACAGCTTGAGCTGTTGCTTGATGATAAACAAACAAACGTGCACATTACAGTGAGACACACACACACACACACACACACACACACACACACACACACACACACACACACACACACACACACACACACACACACACACACACACACACACACACACACACACACACACACACACACACACACACACACACACACACACACACACACACACACACCTGTAAATTTATCTTGCTCTTCAGTTTATTGCACGGTTCCTTGAGTTTGACGTCTCTGGCAGAACTTTTTCCAAGATGGATGAAAAACTGGGACACAATCAATGATTAATTTATTTGTGTGTAGTAGAGGGGCGACATTAATTATTTTCTTATCACTCGCATACACTCAAACCAGTCTGTGAAACTACTTGCTCCAAACTTTTGTGAGTCATCAAACTTGAGGGGCAGAAATCCAATAACTGGATGTGTACCTTTAATTTTGAATTTCCCTCAGGATCAATACAGTATCTATCTATCTATCGGGTCTGACTTT